TTTCATTTGATATAAGCTTTTGAATAAAAAACATATTGTTTTTTTTTCTGTGAGAGTACAAACATTTATAATTATTCACGAATAAATGCCGTTTTCCGGTACTTTCTGTACATAGCTCTGCGAACTAAGTTATTAAGAAATAAGTTCTTTGAAAGAAAATAATTAAAATATCATTGTATGAATAATTCCATGCAAAAAATGGTAGATATACAGAAGTTTGTTTATTTTGAACTAAATATAAATTAATTATATTTTGGGGCTTATATTTTTGGTGGTACCTTGGACATACGATAACGTATGTCCCAGGTGGTACTGTAAACATTTTTGTCTTTAAAAGCTAAATTTTTTAAAAGGTCAATAGTTTTTAGCTTGACTGTAATAACTGTAGAAGCAATTGGTTCAAAATTATCAATATCTCCCCTTTGAACTTAGAATTTTCTTTAAACAATATTATTTTTAGCTGGACTATTCGATAATATAAGTAGAGATATCCTAGTCATCCATTTGTAAGGAATGTTGTGTGTAATGTTGAGATAAATCCAGTTGAAATGTAGCCAACACAATGCGGTTAAGAATTTTTCTGGCATATCGGAAATGGTCTTTAGTGTTTAAACAGGTGCTACACCACAAATATCTTTCACTGAGTTTGGTATAGGCATTGCCCCATTGTAACTGTTTAAAGTGTGTACAAGGCAATGTCGAGTTCCCGCCGAAAGACGAATATTCCAATCAGTAGCAACACTCAGTATTTGGTCCTTTTTATTGAATGTAACATACAAAATTGCAAATCATGTTTCTGATAGGAACATTTCAATTTTTCTCAGAGTAGCTTTTAATCTAAGGACGCAATATTCATTTTAAAGGCATCATACTGGCGTCATTTTAAACTGACTATGTAAAATAAGATTGTTAAGTAAACGTTTGAAAATCCTGTCTAATTTGCAAGCACTAAATAACTATTTCTGCGCAACTAAAATACCTAACCATTTTTGCCGCATAATATTACACACCTGCAATTTGGGCAGACTTATATATTTGGCCAAAGGGAAACTATTAACCATTTTATTGTAATCAGTGAATTTCATTTTCCTGGATAAAATGTAATATATTATAGAAATAAATGACGTGTTTATTAGTCAATTATATATTTCTTATTACTACGCATGAAATAAGAACTTATTTCTGATAGCAGAAATGAGGTCACCTAAAGAATGCAGTTCATTCTTAAAATGCACGACAATGACATCATTTACAAGCATGCAACAGATCTGTTTAAAAGAAGTAGTCATATATGGAACAAACATTCAGCTTACATAATATAAGATGACTTGCGTTCTTTTTGAGGACAAAATTGTGGTGCCTTTTATGATGAGGTTGTGTGCTAAGGATGATGCCACTCAGCCGTGTTGAACAAATACAACAGCAAAAAGTTTAAAATAAGCGTTTTAGTAAATCATTTCATTACTATTATGACTGTATGAAGTTCCACATGCATTTACTTAGTAAGATGAATATCCTCATATCTGTACATTGTACAATGAAAGCAAACTTTAAGACCCTGGGTGTTTGTAGAAATTTAAAATATTAAAATTTGTAAATATAAGGTGAATTATACAAGTGTTATATGTAATGATTTCTTTAATTCCAGGTCTTACTTCCAGCAAGGAAATAAAAGCTGACAAGTTGGACAGTCAACTAAAATGACACATAGATGTTTTATTTGTGAAAAAACATTTACTCGACAAAGTTCTCTGAAAACACATATGACAATTCATACTGGCGAGAAGAATCATGTGTGTAAAATTTGTGATAAAGCATTTTCTCAACGACAATATCTAATCAAACATATGGCAACGCATACTGGCGAGAAGAATCATATATGTAACATATGTGACAAAGCATTTTCTCAACGACAATATCTAATCAAACATATGACAATACATACTGGCGAGAAGAATCATATATGTAACATATGTGATAAAGCATTTTCTCAACGACAAAATCTAATCAAACATATAACAATACATACTGGCGAGAAGAATCATATATGTAACATATGTGACAAAGCATTTTCTCAACGAAGTCATTTGAACACGCATATGACAGTACATACTGGCGAGAAAAAACATAAATGTAAAATGTGTGATAAAACATTTTCTAATCGAGGTAATTTCATCACACATTTTAAAATACATACTGGTGAGAAAAATCATCAATGTGGAATATGTGACAAAAGATTTACTGAAGGAAGTACTTTGAACAGGCATATGACAATACACACTGGCGAGAAAAATCATAAATGTAAAATATGTGACAAAGCATTTACTCGACGAAGTACTCTGAATATACATATGACAATACACACTGGCGAGAAGAATCATAAATGTAAAATGTGTGATAAAGCATTTTCTCAGCGAAGTGATTTGATTACGCATATGATAGTACACACTGGCCAGAAGAATCATAAATGTAAAATATGCGATAAAGCATTTCTTAGACAAACTAATTTGATCATTCATATGACAATACATACTGGTGAGAAGAATCATAAATGTAAAATATGTGATAAAGCATTTTCTCATCAAAGTAATTTGATTAGGCATATGACAATACATACTGGCGAGAAAAAAAATAAATGGAATTGTAAATTGTGTGATAAAACATTTTTGTATCGAAGTAATTTGATCACACATATGGCAATACACACTTGCGAGAAGAATCATAAATGTGGAATATGTGACAAAGCATTTTCTCAATGACAATATCTTAAGAGTAATATGACAATTCACACTGGCAAGAAGAATCATGAATGTAAAATATGTGACAATGAACTTATTTTATTATGCATTTGACAATGCACACTGGCTAGAAGAAACATTTTTGTAAATGTTGTGATTAATCATTTTCTCACCACTTATCTTAAAACACATATGGCAATACAGGTGTACGGACATAATCCCCTTCGGACAAAATCCCCTTCATGTATTTTTGTATATCTGGACATAATCCCCTCCATGGGTGGACATAATCCCCTTCATGTGTGAAATTTTGAAGTGGACAAAATCCCCTTCATAAAATTGCTACCTAGGACAAAATCCCCCTCGGATGAATTTTCGATTTATAACATGGGTATAAGAGCGACATACTGCATTATGCTGTGTAGTAAATATCTTAATGTATAAATAAGCAGAAAATATTTAAATTTAATATTTACATTCATTTTTCAAAGCAATTATGGCATAAGCAATTATAACATAAACAAATAAATACAGATCAGCATGAGAGTACATTCATTTAGCACATCGTTAATTTCTTAATGCTAAATAAGCAAAAAATATATCAATTATTTTTCAAAGCATGAAAATAATACAGATCAGCAGAATAGCACATTCAATTAGCACATTTTAATCACATTAAATTTGCTTTGTTAAAGCATTCATAACAATCAATTAAGTAGTGCAGTGATCTTGGTTTGATGAAATTATCACTCTTTCATCAGTAGAAATTGTAACAATGGATAGTATATATCAATTAGAATTATCAACTTATACAATCAATGAAACAATTATTGGCAAATGTTGAGTTATATCATGTATTTCATTTTTTTATTAAAAATACAAATTTAATATGATTACGCTATACAAATATGATTAGTTGCAAACAATTTTAACTGTAATTTTTGAAATTATTAGAATTGTTTTAAATAAGTAATAATTTTAATGAAAACTTCTAAACTAAATAAGGTTAACTTGATACATAATTATAACTAAAAAAAACAAATGTTTATTATTCATCAATTTTTATGGAGCATAATAATACATTAGAAACCTATGAAACAAGGGGATTTTGTCTGGGTAGTGAAGGGGATTTTGTCAAGCCTTGCAAAAACATGAAGGGGATTATGTCCACCCATGAAGGGGATTTTGTCCGGGTATGCGAAGGGGATTTTGTCCGAAGGGGATTATGTCTGACATTCGGCAATACATACTGGTGAAAAAAAATAAAATAAATGTAACGTGATAAAACATTTCCTCAAAGGAGTTCTATGAACAGACATATGAGACTACAAATGGGATAGATGAATTATCAGTATGAAATGTATGATGAAGAATTTATTCTTATCACACATATGACAATAGAAACTGGCGAGTATAGACATAAATGTCAAGTGTGTGACAAATATTTTCTCACCAAAATATGACATCTGATCACACACATGACAATACACACTGGCGACAAGGGACATAAGAATGAAGTGTGTGATAAGGCAATTTCTCAACAAATTCATCTTATCATGCATTTGGCAATACACACTGGAGTTAAGAAGCGTAAGTTTGAAGTGTGTGATAAAGCATTTTCTAAACAAAGTCATCTTATCACGCATATGACAATACAAACTGGTGATAAGAATGTAAAGCGTGTGATAATGTGTTTTCTTAATAACACCATTTCTCACCGAAGCAATTGTGATAGATGGATATTTTGAGTATGTTCTTATGTTTGACATGTTTGATGAAACTACTACAGCAAGGCAATGGCAAACATGGACATACTGGTCAGATTTTAGCGCAAGATTAAAGACGGGGACTGTACTGTAAGATTTCTGAAAGCGGGTCACACGAAATACCGGAAACCACCGAAAATACCGGAAACTACAGGAAACACCGGAAAATACCGGAAACCCCTCAAAAATATAAACGCTTAAAGGAACAAAGTGATCCCTCTGAAGCATTAATCTCAACAAAATTACATGAAATTGCAGACTTGGATTGATTATGACGAACACGATAATGTAGCTATTATTCGGTCAGACCATTATGATATAATTGGTTGTGCAAGTTATTCAGTTATTACACCTTGCATTTTATTACATATTGAAGAATTAAAGTGTACATGCATACATACGTAAATAATCATTAATAGCGTGAGATTTAGACGATAAAAAGGATGCATTTTGTGAGAATTGTCGACAACCTTATTTATCAATATTGATGTAAACAGATGATGAAAGGTATGGCGAATTCGAGCTTTGCACTTTTCATGAAGTGATAATGCATACATGTTTGAAAAATAACTGATGTTTTATGTTTATTAAACTATAAATAAACACATGCAAAGATTAAGATTTAATCACCGGAAACAACATGGGGCCAATTTGATATTATTATTTGATTCTGGAAACATATTACAACGCATTAATTAACTTATACAGTTATTAATTATCAATAATGAACAGACAACGGTAAAGGTGGGGATATAATTGTCATTTTCTTTTAAAGAAGAAATCAGTTTGTCATATGTATGCGTAAAAATGAATGATTCGGATTGGACAACCAGAAACCTCTAAGAGTACTATTAATATATAAAACACATATCTTGTGGGCGGTTACGTATCTATATATACTTGTGGGACGCAATATTGCATTTTTCTCCGAATGTGGCCAGTATTCTTACAAGATTACAGTAGTAAATATTTTTT